GGGAAAGGGATGGGCAACAAGGTCGGACGGCAATTTTTTCTCTGCGTGCTTCTCTCTCTCTCTCTCTCTCTCTGTCTGTCTCTGTCTCTGTCTCTGTCTCTCTCTCTCTCTCTCTCTCTCTCTCTCTCTCTCTCTCTCTCTCTCTCTATCTTTTCCCTTCCGCTTCGCATAGTTTTCATTTAAGATTCTCTTTGACATTGAGATGAGAGAGTTGACCTAAATTTTTTTTATTTTTTGCGTATCACGGAGAAAAGGGGCGGAGCTTAGGTGATAACGTGGCAAGGGGAAGATAAGAAGATACAAGGGAAATACAGATAAAAAATATAGGAATTGGAAAAAAATTGAAGTTGAAATTTACAAAAAATTCTAAAAATTCAGGAATTTGACTTTTTGGGATTTTCGATTTTTTCGAAAAATTTGATTTTTTAAATTTTAAATTCTCACATTCACCAAAATTTTTGAAATCCGTGTTTTTCGTCTTTTTAGGTTCGGGAGCTTCGAAATTCCGGAAAATCCATAAAAAAATTCCCCAAAATTCTAAAATTTACACATTTTTGTAGTTCAGAATTTTGAAATTCCCAAAAACTCAAAAATTGAATTCTTATGAATTTCTGAATTTCTGAATTTCTGAAAAACTAGAAAATCAGAAAAACGAAAAAATCTGAAAATCTGAAAATCTGAAATTCTGCAAGTTTCCACAAATTCTGAAGTTCTGAAAATCTATAAAAACAGAAATATGGAGAATCCAGAAAATTCTAAATTCTAAAGTTCTGAAATTCTGAAATTCTGAAATTTAGAAAATTCTAGAAAATCAAAAGTATGGAAAATCTGAAATTTTAAAATCCTGAAAATTCTAGTTTTGTCTGTCTGTGTGCCTTTAAAAAAAAAGAAAAAAAAATAGAAATCTTTATTTCAAATTTCAAAAAAAAAGTAGGCCTAGTTGTATTCTTTTTCAGAATTGTCTGAAATTTTCCAGAAAATTCACTTCTTCTTTTTCATTTTTCCAGAAGTTGGTGCATCGGATTTCTCGGGTGGGAGGGATTTGACGTTTCTGAAAAATTGAAACTTTCAGCAAAAAATTATTTTTCGAATTTTCAGAATTTTCAGAATTTCGGCAGGAAGTTAAAAATTAAACAATTCTTTTAGAAAATGTTATTTGGATTTTTGTATTTTTCGAATTTCAGAATTTCTTACGCCAATGTGTCCTCCTCAACGGCAGTAGACCGCTCTACAGGGGTGTAGGCTGGAGGGTTTCTGAAAAAATGAACACTACAGTAATCCTAAAAACTACAGTTATCCTTACTGAACATGTGGAGCAGCTTGAATGCTGCTAACACTATTATTGTCGTCTTTTGGAGGCGTTGGCGCTGGGATTGGCGGTTTTCGTGGGATCAAATCGGCCTGGAAAATGCTGACTACAAACTACAAAAAGACTACAAACTACTACGAACCCTTCCATCGGCTTCGAACTTCTTTTTCGATTGACAATAGGCGGCGATTGGGAGAATGAGCAATAGAAAAAGATGAGGTCCGGAAAATGTGACAATCTGGAAACAAAATTGACTACAAACTACAAAAAAAGATTTTTTAATACTTTGAACTAGATTTCCTAGATTTTCATTTTCAGAAAAATAAAAATTCAAAATTTTGGTTTTCTAAAAATTTCAAAAATTCCGATTTTTAGGATATTCCGAAAATTTTTGAATTTTGGGATTTTTCAAAAAAAATGGGTTTCGGGTTTTTTTTATTTTTAGGAATCCAGATTTCTAGAATTTCAGAATTTCAGCATTTCAGAAAAAATTGAAAATTGAACTTTTAGCTTTTTTGGATTTTTGAAAAAATTGAATTTTGCCATTTTTGGGATATTTTCGGATTTTCAGATTTTTTAAAGTTTCTGAATATTTCTGAAAAACTCACATTTATCAAAATTTCAATAGATAAAATCATCGCGTCTTAAACTAAAACCTCTGGAATGAATTTTCGATTTTTCTTCGAAAATTGAAATATTGATTTTCAGAAAAAAAAGTTCGTTTTATGGAATTTTTTTTTCAAAATATAGAAAATTTGTCACGGAGAATTTCTGAATACGATTTCTGGGAGAAGCTGAAAATACAAAAAAATTAAAAATTCCCAAAAATCCAAAAATCGCAAAATCCAAAGAATCCAAAAAAAAATCCGAAAATCCCAAAAATTGACTAAAAATCGTACGAATTTGATTTTTGAAAAATTTCAAGATCATTTTTCTGGTACTTTCTAGATTACTGTACCTTTGACCTACTTTTTTCTCCCCAAATTGAAATAATCAAAATCAAGATCACGCCATGATTTTTGTTTTGTTATTGGCATCTCTTTTTTGTCCATTTTGCACGATTTTCTGTTTGTCTGACCTCATTTTACCTGTTTTCCAATTTTTTCATTGGCTACTAGACAGTCAGAGAATGATTATTTTCAAGGTTGTCCATTTCCGGACCGCGGTCGACCGCCGCGGCTGATTTCCAGGCATAGCTAGAGATACGCATCACACACAGCAAATTGTGAAAACAAATTTATTAAGCTACAGTAACCCTATAAAGCTTTTTGAGCTACGGTAACCCCAGAAAGCTTCTGGAAAACTCAAAACCAGTGGAAAAACAAGATAATTTTTATCTGAAATTTTCAGAATATACTAAACAAACTATTAGCTTCATTTTCGTAGTTGACAACTTTTTTGGAAAATCAAGTCCTGAGGAGTTATGTTACATGGAAAGGGCCAGGCGCGGCGCCATCTCCCCCTCCCCTTACCTCGGGTTCCACCCTCTTGCGCCTTTTGGTGTCTTCCACGTGGCATATCTCCTCGGCACTTGATTTTCCAAAAATGTTGTCACTTACAAAAATGAAGCTTGTGCCTTGTTTAGAATATTCTGGAAATATCAAATGAATTGAAAAAGTATAAACCCCTTCGGTACAACGTTGAAAAAAGCTGAGTAGCATTTTTAGACGTTTAAAGAATTAGCTGATTTAAACTTTTTCAATTTATCTGAAATTTTCAGAATATACTAAACAAACTATTAGCTTCATTTTCGTAGTTGACAACTTTTTTGGAAAATCAAGTCCTGAGGAGTTGTGCAACATGGAAAGGGCCAGGCGCGCAAGTACGCCCCCCAGGGCGCCACCTTTCCCCCTTTACTTCGGGAGTGGGTGCCACCACCTCGAGGGTTGGTGGCGCTGTCTTCCACTTTGCATATCTCCTCGATACTTAATTTTCCAAAAAAGTTGCCAACAACAAAAATGAAGCCCATGTCTTTTTTAATATATCCTGAAAATTTCAGCTATATTGAACATTTTCGAATGTCTTTTGTAGGCATTTGAACAACTAACTAGCATTTTCATATGTTAAAACTTCCGGACCCTACTTTCCACCTCCCAGAAACTTCTGGAACTTATACTGTTTTGTATTTTTATTGCAAATTTTCTATCTGTCCCCTTGCCTATCACTAACTTGCCCGTGACGGGGATTAGCCAATGCAATATAGCATTCGTCGCTAGAAACCGGGCGGTTACGTAATCTAGGTCAATGCCTTTCTATTTTTTTTCTTTTTCTCTGCGTCTCTCTCTCTCTCTCTCTCTCTCTCTCTTTTCTGATCGCTCGAAGAATAGATCGGAACGTCCTTGTAGTCCCGCCCACTTGAAATGGCACGTTGCCACGTCAACTACAGTAACCTAAATAATGTTGTTTTGATTTTGACCTACTTTTCGGGCGGGATGACGAATTTAAACTTTTCTCCCGAGAGATCTTGTGATTACGTAAGGTTTTCTTTCGGGAAACAATGCATGTGTGTATTATGCCATTGGGTCATCGAGATTTTTAGATTTTGGTTTCTGAGAAATGACCTCGATGTTTTGTTTTTTTTTGTTTTCTTTCTTGGCCTACCCCAGGAAACGTTTTGAATTTTTTGAAATTTGGTCCAGCAAGTTCATTTCCGCATTTTAATTTTTTTGAAAAATACATCTTTCGGGATTTTAAAATATACCGTAAAACTTGTAATAGAAGGGCACCCTGACTAATTAACTTTGAGCCAACTTATCTCGGTTCTTGTAAGAGATATCAAAAAGCGGTCAACTAATAAAATATTGGTGATAATATGATAAACATTTTATCAGTTGACATGTTTTTGATATCTTTTACAGTAACCGAGAAAAATTAGCTCAAACTTGATAGTGTGGGTTCTCATTCTATTACGGATCTTACGGTATTTTGATGGGATTTCTAGTAGTTCAAAAATTTTGAATTTTGAATTTTCGTGTTTTTGAAGTTTTTCGAATTTTTCGACTTCCTGGATTTTGGTCTTTTAAAAAATTGTTGGATTTCGTGGGTTTATTTTTTTCAAAATTTTTTATTTTTCGAATTTTCGGGAATTTGGGATTGATTTGGAATTTTCGGATTTTTCGACTTTCTGATTTCTGTAGATTTTTAGAGGATTGGGTTTTTGGAATTTTAGATATTTTCGAATTTTCGAATTTTCGGGAATTTTCAGATTTTCGGGATTTAGGAGTTCCGAGATTTTGTTTGTACTTCAAAATTTTTAGAAAACTCGAAAAATCTAACTTTTTGAAAATTCAGAAAATCTAGATTTTTGAAAGTCCCAAAAAATGCCAAAATTCAAGAATATCAGAAATCTAAAAACTCGAAAATTGTGGAATTTTGGATTTCCAAAAATCTGAAATTCCAGAAAATTCAAAATGATGCAATTCCAGCCAAAGCAAAACCCGAGTTTCAGATAATTCGGAATTCCCGGATTTTCGAAAAACCAAACGCCCGAAAATCTGAAATTCCGAGTTTCAGAAATTTGGCTCAAAAATTAACTCCCAGATTTTTTTTTTCAAAAATTCCCCTTCAATTTTTTGGCGCCAAAACTTTCCTCGATTCCTTTCCCTCGCTCTCAGAAAAAAATCACATAAATTTCCAATTTCGATCTCCTTGGAGGTAAAACCCTGTCCCTTTTCAAGTTTTCTCTCTATTCCCCAATGCCAAAAAGAGAAATAGTCCTGAAAATTGAGAGACGCAGAGAACAGAGAGGTGTCACTTTCCCTCCCACCCCACAAAAAATAGTGACCGCATAGCCCCGAAAAAATTCTCCTTTCCTTTTTTTGTTCGATCGGTGTCCTACTACCACACAGTTTCGTCCGTCCTTGGCATTCTGAAGGACGACGCACCGAAAATTTAGGCTCCGCCCACTTCTGGGTAGCCAACCTCCCATTTTCTTTTAATCTTCATCTTCCCTACTATACCCTTCACCTATTTTTTTCTCTTTTCTTCTTTTCCTTAGAATGAAACCAACATTTTGATCTCTCTTTTATTTTTCAGAAATTTCAGAGGAGTACAGTAATCCTTGCAAACTCAAAATCTACCTTAAACACCCACCCAAAACCCCAAAACACCCTCCCCACCCACCTCCCCCAAATTGCCAACTTTGAGCTTTTGTATCTCATTTCCTGTAGAAGATATCAAAAAGCGGTCAACTGATTAAATATTTTTGATATTATGATAAACATTTTATCAGTTGTCAAACTTTTGATATCTGTTACAGTAATCGAGATAGATTGGCTCAAAGTTAGAAGTCGTTCAAAGCTCTGTTAGATGGACCCTTTAACTTTGAACCGTTTTATCTGGGTTACTGTAGGAGATATCAAAAAGCAGTCAACTGACAAAACATTTATCATATTATCCAAAATATTTTGCTAGTCGACCACTTTTCGATATCTCTTACAGAGTAAACGAGACAGATCGGCTCAAAGTTAGCGGATTGGGTAGCCAAATTTTGATTTTTAAAAATGTTTGATCCTTAATTCTTAAAATCCCCATAACTTGACTAGATTTTGACCTAGAAGATTGATTTATGGCTACAAAGTTAGCTGAAAACTTGAGTTTTTTGAATGCATGTCTCGAATATTCAATTTTCGCGAAATTTTGGGTTTTGAGAAAAATTTGAATTTTTAGGATTTTTAGAGGTATTTTTGAAATTTTGAGCTTTTGGGATCAATTTCAAGCTAGCTTTTTCTGAACTTATTCTATTCTAAAAAACCCTAACAATACGTTTTCTTGGTTCTCTATGCAAGCCCCCCGACTATGCCCGTGTAGCTCAGCTTGGCTCCATATTTGCCAAATTTGCCTTGTTTTGATTCCTGTTTTTTTTCAAATTTCTTCAGATTCCGAATCCCACTCCCAATTCCAAAATCATCAATTTTCCAGAATAGATTCTCCACCATCTTCCTGACCCCCATCAATCCATCATGGATCTTTCATCCACTGGCAGTCTACCCTGCCACCTTCCCCTCTCCCTTCTAACAAATCTCCAAAATTCTCCAACGGCTTCATCCTCCTCCTTCGCCTCACCACCTGCCACGTCATCAGCAGCACCGGCTCTTCTGATTCATTCACCGTCGTCTGCATTCCGTCCAGTGATTCCACGTCATCTACAACCATCGCCATCCGTCGACACCTTCTACATGTCAGCCATTCAGTCGTTGGTCGTGCAAACGGCGCCCGAGGATCAGTTCAGTGAGATAGGACCATCGGAAGGTTGGTATTTTGTTTTTGAGCTATCAAATTGGTTTTTGGTGGAAAATGTTCTAAATGTTCTGAATTTTCAGAAATATGCAAAAATTTTAAGTTTACACTATTTTGCTCTATTCCAGACAAGAATGAAAAATTTCGACAGATTGTGAAATTTTGTATTATCATTGCTCATCTTGTAGTCTTTAAGATTTCCAACATTTCTAACTCAAAATCATTGAAAACGGATGAAAATGAACCGAGTTAGAGCGCTTTCAAGTTTTACTGAGGCTTAGGAGTTTTGTAGTTTGTAGCGTTAGCCTCAGTAAAATTTCAAATCGCTGTAACTCAGTTCATTTTTATCCGTTTTGCATGGTTTTTTGTGCAAATTGTAGGAAAACGTTGGTTTTTTATTATTATGGTAACTGAATTCCAAATTTCTGGAACCATTTTTATCTAGATTTCTTTCTAGACCTATTTTTTGAACCCAATTATGACGTGGCACACTTTTGTCCCAAATTTTTCTATTTTTCTGATCAGTTAACGAAAAACGAAAAAAAAAAGTAGGTCACAAAAACAGTATTGCGCAGGGACAGGGGCAGTCTCTCGCGCCTTTACTAGTAAACAGAGGTAGTCAGAGAAATAGTATGAGAGAGTGAGAGACGCAGAGAAACGAGAAAGAGATAGGGATGACGTGAAGAAGAAGATTGAAAAGAGATGGTGGCAAATGGAAAAAAGGAAGAAGAGAAGATCGTCCACTAGTCTAAAATCGAGGTCATCTTTATTTTAGGGTTGATGAGTGGGGGACACGTGAGATGGGACATCATTATGGGAGGAAGTAAAAGGGGGATTGGAAATTTCTGAAACGACCAAGTTTTCATAAAAATTGAAAATTCCGAAAATTCCAGAAACCTCGAGCTTAAAATTATTAAAAACGGTTGAGAATGAACCGAGTTACAGCGCTTCGAAGTTTTTTCTTAGGCTTACACTACAAACTACAAAACTCGTTTAGCCTCAGTAAAACTTCAAATCGCTGTACCGCGGCTCATTTTATGCGTTTTTAATGTTTTTTTAGTGCAAATTGTAGGAAATTTTGTAGACTACAAAATTAACGTGCAAAATTTCACAAACTGTAAGTTTTTTCACCCTTGTCTAGAAAAACCGAAGAAAAGTGTTAACTTGAAATTTTTGTTTGTTTCTGAAAATCCAACAAATTTGACACATTTTGCACTAAAAACTAGCTCGATGGCTCGAAAACTAAACGAGTTACAGCGTTTTAAAGTTTTTACTGAGGCAATTTTACTGAGGCTTACACTACAAACTACAACACGTTCTAAGCCTCAGTAAAACTTCTAAACGTTGCATCTCGGCTCATTTCTGTCTGTTTTTATTGGTTTTTGGATCAAAATGTAGGAAATTTTGAAGACTACAAAGTTAATAGCTCTGAGTTACCGAGATTTCATTTTTTACCTAAGCTTGATGGGTTTAACACAGTTTTGGCGCCAAAAATCAACAACTTTCGAATTTTAAACTGAATTTGAATTTTGTTTACTTCCCAATAAACCCTGTAAATTGTATTTTTCCACTTTTTTCGATCATTGATCTCTTCTCTCACACATAACAACACGCTCATAATTTCTCTCCTCCACGAATTTTCTGGCGGCAGCCGGTGGCGGTCCACGTCATCTGACACAGTATTCGGAAAGCTCCCATGTGACCGTTCTGACATCTTCTTCCGTTTTTTTTTGTTCTCTTTTTCCTCCGTTTTTCCAGTGATTCATGGTTGGAGGTCGGCAAAACGCGCGCGCGCACAAGAATTTTCGAAATTGCGCAATCGAAATGAATGAATGAATGAGGAGACTGGTTTTTTTTTTGAATTGGAGGACAACCCCACACAAAAATTTGGAATAGGAGGACAAAAAACTAGGTCAAATTTGGGCAGGAAGGAATAGTTACGGAGATGCAGATAGTTAATTGCATACTTGTAATCAGGGCCTTTGCCAGGCCTTCGCGGACCCTGCAATAACTTCTTTCAGAATCAATGTTTTCGAACCAACTCAATCAGATAGGATAGAGCTCCACGAGTACTACAAAACGGTATTATTTGGAATACTG